ACCTCGCTCGGTCTCTGCTCCGGAGCGGGACGCTCGCCGCGCGTCCGTTTGCTTCCGCCTCGCTCTGCTGTGAATTCACATCGCTCCGTTCCCGCAGCAAAACCGCTCCCGTCTCCCTGGCAGCTCAGCCTTGAACTCAGGTTTTAATTAAGTTCATTATTAACCTTAGGCAATATATTTTCGGTTAACTTAGCTGAAGAACTCTGTTAAAATTACCGCTATGTTTTCCAGTAGCCAAAAAGGAAAGAAATTAGGACTAAAGCTAAAAATGTAAATACTTTTCAGCTTAGCTAAGAGTCATTTCAGCACAGCAAGTGCAGAATTAAAACATTTTTTGTGTAAGAAAAGGCTTTTATTCGCTACAGGTAGATCAGTCGAGGGAAGCGTGGATCGAACGGCCGCAAGCACGCTGTGTTCCTCCTCCTTTCTTGGTAGCCTCTCTTCCCATCAAACTGCTCTTTGCTGGGTCAAAAGCAGCTCGGTTCTTCCTTTATGCAGGTCCTGTGAGGAGCCGCCGCCCCCCAGCCGCACCGGAGGGGACCAAAGGGCGGCAGAGGGATGCGCCGAGCAGCGCGGAGAGCTGGGGGGCTCGGCAGCACACAGGGGGGGAAACAGAGTTGGGGCGCACTGGAGGAAACCTGGTGGCTCCTGATGCGACCAGCAGGTAAATGGGGGGGCTCTGGTTTCACTGAAGGACAGGGGACCCTGGGGAGCACCAAAAGCTGATGGATGGGGACCCTGGGCAGCACCAAAAGCTGAAGGACGGGCTCTACCGCAGCCCTGAGGGGATGGAGAGCGGTCCTGAGGGGATGGAAGGGGATCCCAGGGGGACAAGACCCCAAATGGAGGGATGGGGGGGCACTGGGGGGAAAACTGGGCAGTCTGGAGAGGGTGAGTGGAGGCACCTGAAGGTGCAGATGGGTGCACAAGGTCATGGAGAGTTGGCCCTTGGTAGCAGACGGGACCACACTGAGGGCCCCTGAGTGCACACTGCCCTCCCACAGCTCCCCTCATCTCAGCTGCCCCCAGACCCTGCTCAGCTCCGCTTCCACCCTGCCTCAGGTGCCTCCCAGCAGCTCCGCTTTCCTCCCGTATCCCCACATCGCCTCCACTCCCTGCTCCCGTCTGAACATGAGGAAGAACTTCTTCCCTCTGAGGGTGACGGAGCCCTGGCCCAGGCTGCCCAGGGAGGCTGGGGAGTCTCCTTCTCTGG